CTTTCCCTCTAACCCTGGAAATAAAATCATAGGTTCTGGGCTTCAGTTTGATCAGTCAAGACATTTTAGAAACAAAAGAAATGGTTCAGGACCAGACTGTAAGCTGCAGGAATGGGGAGTTGGAGAAAGTTGTGCATGTTTCTGCCCTGAGCCTCCTCCCAGGGTGAAGGATCATCTCCCTGGCAGGGCCGGGACAAGGCTCTGTCACCTCAAACAGGCATTCTCTTCCACCGCCCCCTCCCCCAGTTGCAGTTCACTGTCCCTGCCAAGTGTTCTCTGAAGGTGTTGCGTTTACACCTGTTGCTTGGTGATTAGTGAAAATACTCCCTCCTTATGTTCCCCTTGGTTGCAAAGGAAGGAGGGAGTTGTCTTTGCATCACCCATCCCATTCCATCCATATAGGCATACATATACCTAAGTGTGTCCCTACATCCTGGGAAGGAAATCTTGGTGGGGAGGAAGGGAGGGGCTCTGAGTGGCTTCAGCTAAATGATGTGCTGGTGGAGGTAGCGGGGAGCTATGTTAGGACACAGCCATTTCCCACAGAGAGCAGACTTTCCCCATAGCTCTACCTCTGGCTCCCTTGCCCCACACCAGCCATGCCACTGAGCCAGTCCTATGCCCTGTAGCACATCAGTTGGTCTCCTCAGCCCCCTGGATGAACATGCTCAGTGACATCTGCTAGGGCCACTGTATGCAGGTTAAACTGCATGAGGGCACCTGGGCAACGGGGCACATGGGGGTAAAATCCAGCGAGAGTCCTGCTCACTAAGCTGTGAGCCCTGGCACAGGGCTGGGTCTCCCTAGAGGAAGGGGCATCTTTTTCCAATTTGCACTGAAAGCTAGGGATGGCCCTGGTGATATCTAATCCGAGCCCTCCCCTTAGCAGTCTCCGTTGCTGCTCAATTCTTTGGCAATCATCTTCCATGGTCATGACTTCCAGGATCCCAAGGGAGCTGTAAAATGCTCAAGGGAGGCTTTTGGGGCCACACTGACTGCCAGTGATCAGGAAGGAGATGGTTCATCATTTCATTCACTACACTGGGTGCCCTTTGTGGGCAGGCATAGTGCTGGGTCCTGGGAATATACATCTGGCCATAGATATGGGCCTGCCTTCAAGGCCCACAAACATAGAAGTGCAGCACCCACAGTGAGCACCACGATGGCCACAGGCGCAGGGTGCCTGGGGCCCACAGAGCAGGTGTCCCCAACATGCTAGAGGGACGGGGACGCTTCCCTAAAGGAGGTGGGCCTGAGCAGGGTCTTCCAGGATGCATAGGAGCTGGCTGAGTACTCCTCTCTGGGGTAGTATCTATTGTGCCAATGGAACCGGGGATGGCTGTGCTGAGCTAAGGGCCACTTTGAGAAGGCCCAGCAGGTCTGCAAGATGTCTGCCTCTTTCACTAGGCTCCTTACATTGGGGGAAAAAATAGGTCTGTAGATTCTAAGCTTTGGAAATTTATTATTAGCAAAACAGTACAATGCCAATCATTCTCTTTTTCTTGGGGGTTATATTCTAGGTTTTCAAATGATTATGTTACAAATTGGTAGCCCCAGGAAGCTTTCTGGCCTCTTGCTTTGTGACCACATGCTAAGTTTCTTTTCTTTTCCCCTCTCCCAGATACTTACTGGAGCAAGATTTCCCAGGCATGAGGATTGGTCCAGAGCCCACCACCGACTCCTTCATCGCCGTGATGTATGGGGAGACTGAGGGCAGCACCCCAGGGAACGCTTTAGTCGTGGACCCCAAAAAGCCATTTCGAAAGCTTAGTCGCTTTGGAAATGCTTTCCTCAATCGGTAAGGACCAGCAAACTGCCATCTTTGGTCAGGTTGTTTAAACCTGTTCTTGGAATTCTTGCCCATTACATGTAAAGGTCCAAAACCAGAAGAACAGAGCATGTGTGTTCTGAAAGAGAGAAGTTATGAGAAAATTCACTATCATATTCAAATACTAGAAAAATTCTCTTAGGAAGTGATCATTTATACTTACTCTGGGTGACTTCAGAGGGCAAAGCTAAGGCCCAGGTTTGGACATTAGAAGGCCACACAGTATAAGGAACAAATTTCTAATAATTTGAGCCTCACAGAAATAGATCAAGTTGCCTTGTGAGGTAGTGAGCTCCCTGTGGCTGGCAATGTTACACGGTAGCTGGATGACTGCATCTCAGGCATCGTGTGCTGGGGCCTCCTGCACAGAGAGCTGAGCCCAGAGGACCACTGAAGTTCCCCTGACACCCAGACTTAGTCTTGGTTTTTCCAGGACTGGTCACCCCACCTCCTTGGCTGTCCCTTTTGCTTCTCAGTCCCATGCTTTGAGCTGCTTCCTCATTCATTAGAGCAAGGCAGGGGAGATAGAGTCAGAATACACAAAACGTTCATGATAGAGTCAGAATACACAAAACGTTAACGATAGAGTCAGAATACACAAAACGTTAATTTTGTTGCATAGGCATTATTTCATAGATGTGAAGTCGTAGGAGAGCTGAGGTTCTGTCTTGATTGGAGATGTGTTTTATTTGTACTACCTCTCACCAGAGTTCCCAACGACACAGTGGGGTACAGGACAGAGGACAAGCTAGCAGGTTGTCCTGGATGCAGCTCTGCACTTTCCTCTGCAGGATGCACCACCTGCTCTTACCTTCCCTCCCCTCTTCTTCTTTGACACTCCTAGCCTATTTTTTTTTAATTAACTAATTATTTGTTTATTTTTGGCTGCATTGGGTCTTTGTTGCTGCACGCGGGCTCTCTCTAGTTGTGGCGAGTGGGGGCTACTCTTCGTTGCGGTGTGCAGGCTTCTCATTGCGGTGGCTTCTCTTGTTGCAGAGCACAGGCTCTAGGCACATGGGCTTCAGTAGTTGTGGCACGCAGCCTCAGTAGTTGTGGCTCGTGGGCTCTAGAGCGCAGGCTCAGTAGTTGTGGTGCACAGGCTTAGTTGCTCCGCGGCATGTGGGATCTTCCCAGACCAGGGCTCGAACCTGTGTCCCCTGCATGGGCCGGCGGATTCTTAACCACTGCACCACCAGGGAAGCCCCTAGCCTATTTTTTAAAATGCTTTTCTCATTCTTCTTTCTTGTGTTCCCCTCACCCCTCCCTTCCCCTCTTGTAGGAATCTACCGCTTTAGACTGGTTGGTTGCGGGGAGTGGGCTATGGGAGTGCAGAGCCAGGTAGGGGTCCTCCAAACCCTTTTAGGGAGGCATGGAACTAGAGCTGACAGATAAGAGACTTGAACTGCACTTCTACTTTTTAGGTTAAAAAAAAAAAAAAAAAGGAACAGATCCTCCCCGCTGACTGCTGTCTTCCCAGAGGCTGAGGTGCCTGATCGCCCAATTCCAGGGTGCGCCATTCACGAGGACTGTGGAATGAATGACGTGCCCCGGTGCTGTGCAGTGGCTCTTGCCAAGAGTGGCCCAGGCGACCTCCACAGGCGCCTCTCTAGGGATCTGTACTCTCCTCTAAGAGCTTGTTTATGCTCCCAGAGCAAATCAAAAAAGGCATCCAAGGGGCACCAAGGGAACTTGGCCGTGGGATAAATAGAAATGTACAGATGATGTAGATGGGGTCTCAGAGAAATTCCATCTTGTTGCTGGCAGTGATTGGCAGAATACTGTCCAGATGACTTTTTCCACCTGCAGAGTCTCTCCTCTAGCAGAATTGTCCTCCTCAACTCCGGGGCAGCCTTTGTTGGCACCATCGTGCCTCCTTGTAGGAGAAGTAAGGGTTGAGCCCAGGAGAGAGAACACCAGAGGGTCTCTTGGGACAAGTGGACCACAGCTGAGGGGAAGTGGAACAAGAAGCTCCCCCCAGCAGGGCCTCCCAGGAGCTGTGGTCCTGGGGCAGGCAACAGCCAGACTTCCTGTCCCAAGACTGGCCCTGGAAGGTTCCGGAGGCCCTGGAAAGTGCAGGGCACAGGATCCTTCTCCATGAAAGGCTGCCTGGAGTCCCTCAATTTCATTACCACTGTCCTTAGTCTTATTTTCTTTTTGCCTAGCAAAGGCTTAAAAAAGAAATAAGCTGCCACCTTTTTCGAATTCCCATGTTATAAAGTCTGTATTCACAAGGGAAAAACTAGAGAGAGTGGTTATTGGCTTCTTTTATTTTGGCAGATGATTTACTTCCCTAACAAATTTATTTTTTCTTAAATCCCAAGCATACAGCAGATGAGAGTGGAAAAGAAGCATTCAGGAAAGACTTTGTGTTTGGGGGGTTTTTTTTGATGTGGACCATTTTTAAAGTCTTTATTGAATTTGTTACAATACTGCTTCTGTTTTATTTTTTGGTCACGAGGCTTGTAGGATCTTAACTCCCAGACCAGGGATTGAACCTGCGCCCCCTGCATTGGAAGGCAAAGTCTTAACCACCGGACTTCCAGGGAAGTCCCTCAGGAAAGATTTTGAATGGCAAGGTTCTTTATCTCAGAATTTAAAACTTGCTGAAAATAACCCATGCTTTATATAATTGTGTTAATTGAATTCAGAATACATAGAAAAGTAATAGCAAATATTTATATGGCATTTACTGTGTGTCTAAACTTTACTTGTAAATTAGCTCTAAATTCTCACAAAACCCTTGTGACATAGGTGCTACTATTATCCCCAACGTAGAGAGGAGGAATTGATGCAGAGAGAGGTTCATTTAACTTCCACAGGGCCACTCGGCTGATAAATGGCAGTGCTGGGATTGGAACCCAGGCCATCTGGCTAGAGTCCTGCTAGTGACTGCTGTACTGAGCTGCCCGATGGGAGGACGTTTGGACTGAGAATCACTGCCTACTGCCCTCTATCTAACATTTAAGGCTGTCCTCAATCTAGCCCGCCAGCAATGATGATGAAGATGATAATGATTATGTCCTAAATTATAGATTAATAATTTCACATACACCCTCTTTTCAGGGCTAATAAGACAGATGGTACTAGGGCCATTTTACAGATGAGAAAACTGAGAGCAAAGAAGTAAAATGACTTGCCCAAGAAGATGCAGAGACAGGGCTAGAATTCAGGCTCCCTCTTCCCTTTTACCTATTGCCCTGCACCTCACGAAGCACCAGCAAAGAGGAGTTCCTATCCTTCATAGCCACCTGGTGGCCATGTATACCTGAAGCTCACATGTCAGGGATGTACCACCTGGAAACTGATAGCGTACTTAAGAGTAAACAGCCTGCTTAAGTTGTATCTACAAGGCAGTGCTGCCGTTTCGCCCAGCACTAACACAAGGAAGAGGGTCAGTTAGCGTGGGGTGCTCAAATGTGTGTATGTAATTATAGCATCCCTGTGGGAACAGCAGCAGGCTTAGCTCTAAAGGCAGGCAAACTTCTTTCTACATAGCATACTTCCTGGGAATTAGGTCAAAATACAATACTTAGTAGGGAGGAGAACTGGTTGTCGGCTGTGGAGAACTTCCATCCCCCACCATACTGAGCAACAACCTGCCCCCACTACCCGTACGGGATAGGTCTCATTATTCTGGCCTTCCCGTTACAGGGTGTGGGCTTGGGCATCTACTCCCCCTGGGGAGTCTTTAAAAGAGTTTAGTACTTTGCAAGATGGTACCAGCCTCGAAGCATTAAACAAACCAGTGGAGCTTAAGCCTCGATCTCTAAGGCTGGTTTCTAAGAAGGTAACGGGAGGTTTACAGTGCACTTCTGAGGAACGAAGACAAATTCCCAAAAAGACAGCTTTGAATGATAGAAATTCCATACCTGAACGATAGAAAAAGAAAAGGAGTTGAGTCTGGAACAAAGAGTTATATGGAAAATAATGCGACATTCTGAGACTCCACCGTGCTGCTCTACTTTCTAGAGGAATTCCACAGACAAGCCTGTCTCGGAGTTGCTCTGTGGGAATGTGGTTATTGAGGTTCCAAAGTCTGTTGTCGGAAGGCAGTTCCACCTCACAGAGGGGAGGGACAGCCCAGCAGCACACTGAGGGCACAAGCCCTGGGGGACAGCAGCGTGTTTTGGTCAGTTCAAGAAATGTCAGGAGTTGGCCTCTGACACTTCCCCCTGCAGCCTGCATTTGGATCGCGTGTTAAATTTTTCCCTCAATCTACTTTTCTGAAAATGGTAATCTTTTTTTTCTTTTAATCCAGATAGCTACAGACATCATTTTCAGTTTAGGATCTACAATTTAGGATGCAATTGTAGACTTCCACAGAAGAAATTATTAATCTCATTTACTTCTCTGTTCCTCTTTGAAAAATAACTTTAATTGCTGGCCCTAGGGCTTGAAATTTTGAAACTTCCTTTTGAGCTGAAGGAATCTAAACAGTACTTCCAATGCTCCTGTCATTTTAGCCAGGCCTGATGGTGGTGATGGTGTGATAAAAACAAACCAATAGGGCTTCCCTGGCGGCGCAGTGGTTGAGAGTCCGTCTGCCGATGCAGGGTACGCAGGTTCATGCCCCGGTCCAGGAAGATCTCACATGCCGTGGAGCGCCTGGGCCCGTGAGCCATGGCCGCTGAGCCTGCGCGTCCGGAGCCTGTGCTCCACAATGGGAGAGGCCACAACAGTGAGAGGCCTGCGTACTGCAAAAAAAAAAAAAAATCCCAATAAAAAAAGCAACACAAAAAAAACTCCACTGTCTTAAATTTGCATAATGATTTAGCAATAATAGAATATATATATGTAATTTTGGACTTATCGTTACCTCTGTGTTTGTAACTGAATGAGGCTTCATTCAATAGACTTTTTTTAGACTGTGAATATTACATAGTCACTTAGTACCATTGGGATTTTTTAAAGAACTGATTTAATGCAAGTAAACAGCATCGGTCCACACACATGCTGGCTCCACCAGATAA